GCCACGTTTCCTGCCGGGCATCACAAGTGTGTCTTTGATTCTATAAGTTGGAAGCAGCTCTGTAAAGGCTGTATTGATGGGCACAACGTGTGAGACAAGAAGTGTGTTTATGGAAACCTGTCACACGCTCTTAGAATACTGTTCTAGAAATCAGCCCTAAACCAAGACATTGGGTCCTTGATATTTTAAAGAAGAAATTTGAGCTCGTTAATACATTTATTCAAGTCTTTTAAAAATATTTTCAAGTTTGATTAATTACAGATTTCCCACTAAGATTAAGGGAGAAGACTTACCATTTGTCCAAAACTATGTAGTAGCTTTTTATGTGCGCATAGCTCCTTAAAATCTCCAAGAAAATAATCTATGTACAATCACTTTTAATTATTGCTCTAGTCCAGTGATGGCGAACCTATGGCATGCATGCCACAGCAGGCCATTTGTGTCACTGAAAGCTCTAAAAGGTTCGCCATCACTGCCCTAGTCTTTCTGCATGAGCAGGGTTTCCCATGAGTGGAATGCCTCCCTTCTTGAGAGAAGTTTAGATTTCCACTCAGACTTAATGTTTCCGGTGGGCATAGCCTCTGCCATTTAGATGAAGGAACTAGGAATTCTCTTGCAGAAATAGATGGAAAGATAAGAAACAGATCCAAGTATATGTAAGTTCATTTGTCAATTCATTCACTCATCCAGTTATTTCTTTATTCATTATTCATGAAACAAATAGTTTTTAAAACCTATGGTCTGTCAGTGTCTCCCATACAACAATATGACATCATGTTTATAAACAGAATGGTAGAGTAGGAAAGCCCTCCACTTAAAACCTTATGCTGATGCTAAGTTTTCTGGAATTTTTATCTAAGCAATTGGGAACTTATTTAGTCATTCTGTGTTTATGTGGTATTGTCATGCTTTATTTTCTGTTCTGTGAAAAAAACAAAACAAAACAAAACAGAAACCAAATTTCCCAGTGACTGCAGTTGGTGGCAGCCTAGCTCAGCCAGGCCTCCTGGCTATCCACCTGTTTTATACAAAGACGTGATGGTGTCCTCAAATTAGTACCTTCCTTCTGATTAAATCAGAAGTGGTGTTTAACTGTTTCTAACTCTAGCAAAGACTTGGGTGAAGAAGACACAGGCTCGCCACTGTCCTTGGCAAGGAGAGTGAGTGGGCCCTCGGCTGCCGTCCATTGGAACATGTTCTAGCCAGGGTGCTGGCAGTTCCTGCTGAACTCTTGAACAGCTGTAAGGAGCAGATTCCAGAACAGGAGGCCTGCAGTGCAAACTCTTGTTCTGCCGCATACTGACCACACATACCTGGAACAGCTTCCTTAGTCTGTCTTGCTTCCGTTTTTTCATTCATAAAATAGAGTATCTGCTCCAAGGATTATTGCAAAAATATACAGGAGACAATGTCAGTCAAGCCCTGCTGTGATATGTGGTATCTGGTAAATACTGTGACATTATCTGGAACCATGTTTATGCTCAGCACTTGCTAGATGCTGGGACTACGAGGAGGAACATGGATCATAATTGTCACATACCAGAGTAGAGTCTTTCAACAAGGAGCCAAATGTGGAAAGGGACATTCTATAGTTCACCTTTCAGTGTATTACCTATGTGGGACTTAGAGCCTGACCAAGCCATATGACTGTTTGATTTTGGAGGACATCTAGCAAAAGCATTAGCGTAAAGAAAATGAAAGCAGGACGTTAGACCCCGTGGAAAGCCACTGGGACAGCACTAGATGCTTTGCTGAGATATGCCCAAAGGAATGATGACATGATGGCTGGCGAAGTCAAAGTTCAGTTCCTGTGATAATTAAGCTGTATTGCCCTTGCTAATCCTGTTAATGATTCCTCCCATTTCCCCTGTTCCTGCTTCTTGTGAGAATCCCAATAAAAGGCTAGAGAAAATTGTAATCGAGGTTTCAGTCCTAGATGCTATAGCCCCCTAATCCCATAACTTTGTCTGTCTTGTTTTTCTTTTCATGCACTGCACCTTGTTCTTGGGACATGTCACCCCACACAGAAAGCGACTTTATACTGACAGCTACGTACTTATTACAGTTCTGGGAAGTACTCTAAAGGTACAGACAAAATCCTATGGGCACGTGAAGCCGGCAGCAGCTTCATGTGTGGACTCAGGGAGGATCTTCCTTGGTATGGCAAGGTAGCCCGTGGGAGTATCACCTGGGAAAGAGAGCCTGAGCAGATTGTATAGTTTGGGATGGAAGTAATTTTTCAAACAATTTAAGAAGAGATGAATAATTGATTTAATTATGCTAGGATAAAAAGTTAGAATTCAGGGAGAAATTTTAATCATGTCGTACTCCAAAATAAACCAGTTAAAGTGCTAAACAGAAAAAGTAAACCTATAAAAAGAATTAGAAGAAATTATACTAGTGTTTTTACCATTGAGGAAAGGAATTTCAGCATTTGTTAGTTTTTTCTATTAAGAAATTTTTATTTTTGAACATTAAAAAATACTATAAACAAAACACAAGTAAATGGTGAATTGGGAAAACTACATAAAATTTACAACAGAGGTCTACTATCCTTAAGATATAAAGAACTCTCATTAACCTGTTTAAAGAAAAAGCAAGTATCCACATAATCATGGTGAGGGTGGAGGCCTTGTTTGTCTTTGTGTTGTATCCCTAGCACTTCACAACATCTCTGAAAGGAAGCAAAGATGAACCAATTGATTATGATAGAAAATTGGGCAACGTACATAGACAGATTACTAAAAGGAAACACAGGTAGCTAATTCCCATGTGAAAATGTGAACAAAAGGCAAATGAAGAAAAAAGATCATCGAAATCCCACTTGTAGTCATAAAGATGGCACGTTTGGGACCCGTGGTAACACCCTGTGTTCGTGAGGGCAGATTGACACCCTTGGTGCTGGTGGGAGCACCCCTATCTTGAGTACTCTGACAGAACATTCCAGAAGTTTTACTTTTGAGTCAAAAACAATTATTTTGACCCAACAATTCTACTTATAGGAATGTATCCTCTGGAAATAAGTCAAAGGTTTTGTAGGCATCCTCAGGAACTATTATTAAATAAACTGACCATAGACTAGTAGGTTAGAATAATATGAGTTTTTAAAAATATATATGCACACATGCTACACTTAGACAAAAGATACAGAGCTTTTATATGCCAACGTTAGTATTTCTAAGTGGTAAGACTATAAGATTTACTTTGTTTTTTGTTTAGCTCCCCTCTCCCTTCTAAATTCTCTTGAATGAGGCTAAGTAGCTTATGGAATTTAAAATAACTAATAAGATATTTTTTAAAAATTTTTACCCAGTGTTGAAGCGTACAAAACTGACATCAAGTAGGGAAATAAATCCAGCTTCACCTTGGGAGGGGAGTCTGCCATTGAACCAAAGGTTGTAAAGATATGTAACTCTTTTGATTCAATAATTTCTTGTCTGGAAACTAGAATGATATGCATCATCCCCAAGTGACAGATTGAAGACTAATTTTGGTGGGTTGTGTGTGCATTTATTTTCTAAGTTTCCAGAAAAGAACAAATGTCGCAAAGGAAGTTAAGGAGCCCCTGGAGTTTCCTGGAGTTGCTGTTTCCCTGTTAAGGAAATGAGCTACAAAGCTGCCAAATCCAACCATGTACCTCCTTGTGGTACTAACACATAGGAAAACGATAGGGGCTCGTATTTCCCGTTCTAGATGGGAGAATATTCGTAATACGTTAAAGAAATGGGGGTGGGCGGGTATGCAGAAAATTTTCTTCTCTCTCAGAACATTTAATTAGGCGTTCTGGGCCATTAAACAATAGAACATTTCAAAGTCAAAGTGTCATATTAAAAGGCAGCATATGCTGAGTCCTGTTAGTATGGCGTCACCTCAAATTCCAGGGCTGATCCTTGGGTCTGGGTTGTGCGCATTAGATACACAGCCTGCCTGGGAGGTACAAAGATGGAGTTTTAATAAGCAATGCCACACTTTGAAATTCAAATCCGTATTGCTCTCTTCCACAAGGGTAGTTGGAGAGTGGTTCTGCTGATTCTGAGAGCCACAGAGGTACAGGAAACGGAGGATGAGCTCTCCAGGGACCCGTCCCCCAGCTTCAGCAGCTGTCTGCATTTTGCCATCTCATAACATCCCCTCTTTCCCACACAACACACCTCTTCTACTGAAGTGGATTTCAAAAATGGAAGATAGCGTGCCATTCCACCCAAAAGTACACCATCTCTCATGCATTTCTCCCATAAATACACTCACATCTCACTGAAAAAGGGCACTTTAACTAGTCACCGTCCTGTCATGCCACCTAAACAAAATTAACAAGTTCCTTAATAGATCAGCTAATATGTACACTTACGTACGCTCGTCTTAGCTTGTCCCAGTTGCCTCAAGAATGTTTGTTGGTTTGAATCAAACAAGGTCCAAGTATTGCACTTTATGCCTCTTTCAAAATATTTTAAAACGTGAGTCATTTTACAGACCAGATGTACATGGTTGTACCTCCATATGCAACGAACAAAATAGAATTTATCCTTTAGTCGTTCATCCTTTTCTTTCTCTTTGTCCTCTCCTCTTCCCCTCTGCCTCTTGTTCTTTGTTTTTGTCTTTCTCTTCATATTCTTCTACAGCATCATCTTTATTATTCTCAGCAGCCCTCGGTCACATAGCTTGATCACGTTATTACCAGACCCTACCTCTGAATGACCTCTAGTTTTTTTGTCCCTCAGTGTCCAAGTATTTTTCAACAAAGAAGATAATTAAATCTCCCTTCAGACGGTGCCATGGAGTCTCTGTGTAGGAGAAGAGTCTAGAAGCAGGATTTGGGCAACAGCTCTGTTTGTCAGCTTGAAAGGCCGTCTTCGCTCAGTGTGGAAATCAGAGACAGATTTTTTCACCACCACATTTGCATAAACTGAGTATTCACATCTCTACCTGCTCAACTTACCTGTTCTTACAAGGGCCATTTGCTTCACCATTAAGTATAACCAATGTGTTTGTTTTTCATACAGATCATTGCTTACCAGCCGTATGGAAAGTCTGTGGACTGGTGGGCCTATGGCGTCCTGTTGTATGAAATGCTAGCTGGACAGGTAATGTCTCACTGCATTTTCATGTTTGTATGTTGCTCTACCACGTGACTGCATCAGTTCTGTGGGGCAGGGATAACGGGAGCTACCAGTGTCATTGCCTAAAGTTGGTCTGACTTCCCCGACCCGAGGGAAAAGAGGAAGACATTCCCCTTTGAGAATGGGCTATATCCAGTACACATGCAGGGAAATTATCTTCAGGTCATAACAGTTCCAAATGGAAAGTCGTAGCCTGGAGTGTGGACAGTGTAGCTTCACGGTGTACTCAAAGGCCCCCGCATGCTGGTGATGGTAATAGCCTCAGTGAGTATTCAGTATCACAAAACTGGGCTTGGGCTATGGTTCCCAGCAGGTTTGTCTGCAAAGATTGCCCTGGTGCTGCCCGTGTCTACCAAGGTGATATTACTAAGGAAGCATTTTAATAGTTCCTCCCTATCCCCTCCTGTCTCATGCTTGATAATTCACTGTAATTTTCAACAAAGTCCAGCATGGCTAAACCTCCAGTTAATTTTCTTATCAGCAAACCAAGTGCATTACTGCCTAAGGTGATACTTTCTCATATAATGGCTTTAATATCTGTGTCATGGGACAGCTCTCTTTGTACATAAAAATGATCATTGTGGATGGCTTTTGGTAATTCCCGGAATTCAAGTACTAGTACTAAAGAATCGACCTCCATAGGCGAGAGCCTTAGTAAGAGAGGGTGGACAGAAACAATGATGTTAAGGAGCAGAGCTCCCCCACGGTGCGCTGGCAGGGGTGGAGCTCAGTAGGGGAGCATCTGCTTAGTGTGTGTGAGGCCCTGGATTTGACCCCCAGCACCAAAAAAAGGAGAGAACACTGAGGGTGTAGGTCGATGGAAAGCCTAAGCCCTGGGTTCCATCCCTAGAATAGCAAGAAAGAAAGGAAGGAAGGAAAGAGGGAGGGAAGGAAGGAAGGAAGGCAAGAAAAACATCCTTGTTTTGTTTCTAGAAGGCAAAAGTTACTGTTTCTCACCTGCTGCATCCCTCAATGCAGTCTTATTCATGAAATGCTTCTTGTATGTGCGCGGTGGGCTCGCAGCTCACAGAAGGGAAGCCACAGTAGAACTGTTAGAAGTGTGGTCCATTAGTGATAAGCTCAGGAAAAGATAACAAGGCAAAAAAAGGCGCTGTGTTGGGGGAGTGAAATGTGAACTCCGATGGCCAGCAAGCCTCCGGCAGGGTGAACTCTCCAGAGGGGGAGGTTGAGTCTGATGGTCATAAACCTTTGGGGTGTGTGAGGCCCAAGGCATGGCAGGGCCACTGGCTTCCATTCTCGGATGGGAAGTCACTGATAACCCCTCCTGTAGCCCTGTCATTACGTTTCCTATCTCTTAAATGCAAAACTATTATTTTAGATACTGAAAGATTAAGGTACTAGCCTACATTTAGTCATTATTTTTCAGTGATTTTTGATTTTAACAATTTTTATTGGTGCTTGTTCACTGTACATAATGATGACATTCGCTGTGGGGAGCTTCAGTATCGTGGGGAGAGGACCATACGCATCCTAATACTTTTTACTTCCCCTTCTCCATCTCTGGGTCCCCTTCCCATGTATAAAAGATCTCTCTCTCTGTTTCCTATTACCTTTCTCCTCCATTCCCCTCCCGCCTCTTCAGCCCCTCTTCCCCTCCTTATTTACAAGGAAACAAAGCTTTTCAGGGATGTTCAGACTTGATTGACATGCAAAGATTTGTTTATTTGTTTAGGTTTTTTCAAAGCATTCTGCTTATGTCAGATACCTCAGTGCGCACAGACAAAAAGGATTACACACAAGCTGCTCTCCGTGAACCCACAGTGGGGGAGATGCAAGTTTCTACACCTGAAGTTAACATTCCCTCTGTAAAACTTTGATACTAAACTTTGACTCTGGATCCCCCGTCCCCTGGGTGCTATGCCGTGGTTAAAAGTGCAGGGAGCTAAGTTCCCCTCCTTGATCCCCCTGGACTGCTCACCTCCTGAGCCCAGGACACAGACTCTGCTTTCATGACTTGCAGAAGCTGACCCGTGAAATCATTTGGCCAGAAAAGCAGTCTCTGCTGATGAGTACGCTTACAGCAGGTGACATGAGCTGCCTCTTTACTGGCCAGCAGGAGACTAGAGTTTCAGAACACAGTCTGGAAAAGCTCCTCCCCGCTCCCCAGGCCTGGCTTCCTCTCCTTTCTCTGCATCCTTTCGGGCTGGGGATTTAGCTCAGTGGCATAGCGCCTGCCTGGCAAGTGCAAGGTCATGAGTTTGATTCCTGGTACCAGAAAAAAAAATTCTCTGCATCATTTCTTCCTGGGGCTGCATTCCCCAGGAAAAGGCCCAGGCCACACCCTAATCTGGAAGGGAGGTCCCCTAAGTACATTTTGAAGTCCTGCCTGCCTGGGGCCTCCTGTGCACTGTGGCCCCGGCAGAGCGCCGGGACCCTGCTCCCCACACCAGCAGCCCCACAGACGTTCTGGCACAGTACCGAGCCTTCCTGCCCTGCTTCTCAGAGCCAGTGGGGCCGCCCTGTGTGCATCCCTTGAAATCTTCATAAGCCCCCTTGAAAATGGTGGCATGCCCGCATGGCGGTCCTGCGGAGAGCGCAGACAGTATCCTCTGTCCCTCCTCAGTCCCCACTTCACACCCCGCCAAGTTGGCACATTCAAAGCCCCTTCTTCGTCTTTTGCTCTCCCTCCTCAATGCAAATTTAAATGAAATTCTCCTTGAGTCTCAGCCCAGAAAGGATGATGAAGATTTTACAGCTATTACTCGGGGACCCTCAAAGCTGCAGGAACTGCAGAGACCCAGCAAAAGGAATAGATGCTGTTATTGAAAAGCAAGATTAATGATGACGTTGCTGGTGGGATCGGGGTCTAAATTTGTCATCCTTAACACAGAAGGCTGAAGATGTGGAGAAAAGGAATAGTTTATCGGCATTTTCTTCTATTAATGCCATTTTCTTCTTCTTAATGCCCTCTTGCATTATTTATTGTCAGCAGCCAAGGGGGCAGTTAAGCATAAACAGCCCGTGTCTTAATTCAGTTCCTGGATCGCTTGACAAATATGATTGCTTTTGGGGCATAAATAGTCCTTACCCAGCCCACTAATGAGCATACTGCTGCTCGAAGTGTTCACGGCATTCATCAGAAGGGACTGGCCCTCTCCTCTTTATGTCCTTTTCTACCAGGGTTATTTACGCTTTGTCTTCATTCCTGATGAATCAGTAATTGGCACTTTATCTCCGTAATTGGAACTTCAGCCGGAATGGTGCATGGGGTCCTCTCCCAGCCCCGATCCCAGGGCCTCAAGGATTTGCAAATAAATATGGCAGGGGCCAAGTATCACTGATTAAGAAGTGATTTAGGAATCATTTTGTACACTGTGAGCCATCACCCCTCCATGGCCTGTTTCAGACTCGCAGATGACATAGTGCCGAGGTGGAGTGAAACATACAGCCCACTGACAAAAATTTTCCACCCAACCAAGACTTCTTAATAGCTAGCTCAGCTTGGCCCACTGAGTCAGCCTTGTAGAAATGAGAAAATAACTTTGGAAATGGGAAGTGCGGAGAGAAGCAATCTAAAATGGCCATGTACTAAGTACCTAAGCAACGTGTTACCCCTCCGTGTCCCCAAACTAGCTGTCATGACAGGCAAGGAAAATGAACATAATTATAACTTGTCACCATTGACCTGCTTTCAACACCAAGGCCAGAGCATGAGTAATTACCTGTGAGAGCGCTCCCAGGGTGACCTGGAGAGATTTAACAAGAGCATAAACATGTTCTCTTCCTTTGGTACATAATCCCACACCTGGGACATTATTCTTAGGAAGTAATTCAGAGAGAAAAAATGATACGCACAGAGATATTTAGAGTGGCATTAGTTATTAGAGTACAGTGCTGAATGCAATTGTACAGGTGCCCAGGGACAAATGAATCAGCCCGTGATGATGTATCACTTCTGTGGCATTCAGCTCTGAATGGAAGCACTGGTGGCTACAGAGAAAATGAGTTTGCAACAGTGAGAAATAAAGGTCTCCAAACTACGCATATTGTAAAAATAACTTAAAGTCTATGCATCCAGTTTAAGATGAGAATAATTTTTGTGCTTAAATGAAAAGCATGTGGATGCTGATTTCGTGGACTTCCCCTCCCCTGATATTACATAATGTCAATTTAAAAGCGGACTGAGGGGAGCTTTTCTGAATGTTATGGTCAGTAGTGCCGGTGGAAGACCCCAAAGTCTGTTCCTCCCTCTGCCACAGTAGACCAAGATGGCGCCCGCACCATCAGCGTGGGGCCCACCATTAGTGGCTACAATGAACAGAGCCCTCTGAAGACCCCAGCAGACGTGTAGCATAAGAAAGAAAGGAAGTGTGCTTTGGAGATTTTCTAAACTGTTTGTTGGCATAGCAGGACCCAGCATATCCTCACTGCTACCTGAAGGTACAGTTAAGATGCAAACAGTCTGTATCGTGAAACAAGCCAGTCACAAAAAAGACACACATTTTGTGATCCCACTTACATGAGGTACTGTGCTCACGAGTACTCAAAGTCAGAGACACAAAACAGAAAGATGGTGGCCAGGGGCTGGGAGGAGGGGAGAATGGGCAGGCTGGGTTTAATGGGTGCAGTTCCAGGTGGAAAGGTGGAGCAGCCTGGAAATGGAGGGTAGTGATGGTTGCGTAACAGCATGAAAGCACAGAATGCCTGGGGCCGTGCACTTAAAAGTGGGTAAGATTATGACCGGGAGTGGGGGGTCCTGGAGAGTCAACCCAGGACCTTGTGCATGCTGGGCACGTATTCACCACAGAACTTCCCCACTAACCAAGGTGGTAAATTATATGTTATGCACATTTTATTACAATGAAAAATGAGATCTTTGCAACCGAGGAAACAAAGTAGGAAAAAGTGTGCATTTGATCTGAGGACATTCTAGACCTGGACGAGGAGCCGACCTCCTGAGCCTTGTGCTGAAGTACAGCCCTATCTGCTTTCTCCGGTCGTCCTCTTCAGCCAGGGAGGTGGTTCCAGAAGCATCTGACCTGCAGCTGTGAGGGAAGCTGACCAGTCCCATCCACCCATTAGAGCCCAGACACTCTCCATACAGTGACTTGGGGTATCCTGGCCCCCTAGGCTGCCCCTTTTTATTTGCAGAACCTACCACTGATGTTGTGCAGGGCACGAGTTCGCCCTTTTAAAGTTCACCAAGACAACTCCCCCCCCCCACTGCCGCCCGCCAGCGTCAGCAGCATCCCCTGTGAGTGCCAGAGCTGCCACTGAGCCCCTCCACTGAGCCCCACGGTCACCCTGCCCTGCCCAGCAGGGGAAGTGCTTGCAATTGTCCAGAGCCCAGGCCCCGAGGTCACGCCTGGGTTAGAATCTTGGCTTTTCCGCAGCCTGGCCAAGGCACCAAGCAGAGCCTCGGAGGGCTTCCTGCCTGTGGGATCTGTGCAAGGCACCTACAAAGCGCTCCCCACTGCCTGATGTGTGGGAAGGGCCTGAGGTCACTGTCACTATGGTCCTTATCACCGGCTTTCCCCTCCCTCACTCCCAGCAAGGAGTCAGAGCAGCTAAAATACAAGAGGGGAGAGGCTTGTCCCCTCCCTGGGATGTGAGGACAGGACAAACCCTAATCCTGAGGTCACACCGGGGGTGGATCCCAGGGTGAATCTTGAAGTTCTGTTGTCCCAAGGCTGTTTAGTCTCGTGGCTTTTGTTATCATTTGGAAAGCATTTTGCTGCAACAAACCAGCCTACGCAGCCTCTCAGGATCTCCCAAAGCCAGACTAAGAATTCACACCAAACTAAATAGGTTTCTTTACTGCAGGACTTGCAAGGCATCTCAGGTGTAAACATTAATGCACATCTCCAAAGCAGGGCGTGTGGTGCAGACTGGACCTAGGAGTGTGCTGCAGTACAGATGTTCTAATGAATGCTCTGTGGGGAGTGTCAGAATTCAGGTGTCCTGCCCTCAGGGAGGCCAGAGCAGACTTGACGGTAAAGGTCTACTTTTGCCCCACAGTGGACAAAAAATGTAACCCCTCACACAGCAGTTTCTACTTTAGAAATCAGAGCCTGAGGGGACCGCTCCCCGGCAATGCCAGATTTGCGCCACGAGACAATCAAGCGTGTGTGAAGGGCCATGGCTGTTCCCCCGCAGTTCCCGGTCCTGTTACTATGAGGGGAGGAAAGGTGAGGGTCCTTGACCTGATCGCCTTCAGATGGGGAGGCCTGCTGTGGGCGGGTCCCCTGAGCATCTTCAGGGGCAGTTGCTCTTAGGACCTTGACTGGAACTGTCTGAGACTCACTCCTGCCACTAGTACTTGTGCGTCTCCAAAGGATGTCACCACTCAACAAAGTATACCATGTTCACCAGCTTCCTGGGCTCGCGGCCCCTACCCGGCCAAGCTCAGAGGAGCTGTAGGATTGGTTTAATGCTGTGTCACCACCATCTTGAAGTTCTTCATATTGTGAATAAAGACCCCAAGACCTGCAAACTATATAGCTGATCCTTACCGGCAGTCCTAGGAGCCATATTGTGAGGTGTGGAGTGACAACGGGGAAACAGAGGCTGTGCCTCTCTCCTCAGGGATACTGTTCATGCTCTGAGGGCTCCATGCACCCTGGGAGTGCTTGGTGCTCCCAGAGCGTGCAGCTCCCAGCCCAGGGCAGAGCCCAGGCCATGTTCATTTTGGTTTTGAAAATCTCCTCAAGCAAAACCCAGCCACGCTTCTGGATCCTTTGTCGGGGAAGAGGCGATGTCGTGTGGGGGTGGATGAGGGGTATTGAGAGGAAGCCTGGAGCAGGATCAGGCTGAGAAGTCATGGTGGAAGGGGCAGGAGGATTGGTGCCTCAGCAGCTCTCGGCCAGGTACATCCCTGCCCGCTTCTAGCCTGCCCTGCTTAGCCCTCTGCAGGCAGAGGTGGCACATCCTGCTGCCGACACAGGGGGCCCTCTGCCACCAGCACCACCCCTAGCTGACCCGGCTTATAGACCCCAGTGGCAGTGCACCATGGCAGTACACTGCGGCAGGCTGCACCACCTGACTCTGACTGACAGGCCGGCTAATTTTAGCTCGCCTCACCTACCTGCGTGCTTCCACCAGGGCAGGGAGGGGTCTTTACAGGTCTTTTCTCTGGGCCTGGGACTCCCATTCACTAACCCCTCGCCCAGCTGCTGGTCTCACTCTATTCAGGGGATACTCTATACAGGGGATATGCCTTCTTTATCCTAAGCTGAAGATTAGCTATGCCGAAGGGGGCACTAAGGAGTTTCCCATCATCCCCTTTGTCCTGTGTGCATCCCTTCCACAAGACAGGTCATCGGATAGTGCCCTGGGATGAAAGACATGCTGGAGAAAAGGTTTACAGGGCTTCCTGGGCTCAGGCTTGGCTGCTGGGGGTCTCAAGCCCTTCCCCAGAGGCTCCCCTGCCTCCTTAGAACCACCAGGCCCTTCAGCTCGCAGCAGCTGCAATAGACAGTAGCAGGTGCTGTAGAATCACTAAAAAATTTGTAGAAAGGGGTGTATTAAGGAGGTAAGGCCCTTGCCAGTGGACATCCAGCTAGGAAGAAAAGACCAGAATTCTGGTCCGGATCCGTCTGACCTCCAACCCCTGATGTCCTGTGATGGTCCTATGCCGCCCTCAGCGTAGGGCTGTTAACCCGGTAGGAAAGTCAAAGGACGTGTCCAGAGAAACTCAGTTTCCATCACTGCTGACGCTCAGGCACCTGGTGCCCCTCGGACCAGCTCTCTGTTGGGTCAGTAGTCACAGTGTGGGTTCCTGGGCCCAAGGTCATCCTCCGCCTGTGTTCTGAAGTTCTCTTCATCCCAAGTAAAGGCATTAAGGGGCTGGGGATTTAGCTCAGCGGCAAAAGCCCCTGCCTGGCAAGCGCAAGGTCGTGAGTTCGGTTCCCGGTACCGGAGAAAAACAAAAAAACAAAAAAAAACAAAAAACCAAGTAAAGGCATTAAGTATTCTCTGCCCACCCCCAGCCTTCTGAACACAAAGCCATCTGTAACCTGACTTCATCATAATTAGATTTTTAGCACATGATTATAAGATTAATGGATTAATTATAATGTATTTGTAAATCATTAAAAACATCACTCAAACACATTTTCTCTAAAGATTGTTTGGGGTGGCTTAGGGCAAGATAATTAAAGGGACAGAGTTAAACATGAAAAACACACAACCACCAGCCTAATTAAAGATAATCAAATTAAACCCCAAGTTAACCGAGCTGACGCTGCTGCCTGTGCTGTGCTGGGAAACCAGGTCCGTCTCTCCGTGCTGAATCGGAACTTCGGCCACTGGGTTAATGAACCACTTCTAAACTTTTCCCATCCTTTTCTTTGCTGGACCAGCCTCCGTTTGACGGTGAAGATGAAGATGAGCTGTTTCAGTCTATCATGGAGCACAACGTTTCCTACCCCAAATCCTTGTCCAAGGAGGCCGTTTCCATCTGCAAAGGAGTGAGTCACCTGGGAACCCTTCTGTTTTCGAGGCCTGAGAGGGACAACACCTTTGCCACATTTCCGAGAGAGACTAGAAATGCCACAGACGTACGCCATTGCCCTTCGGCCTCAGAGAGCTAGAGCTTGGTGACACGCAGGCCATTCCTGACATGAAGGCCAGGAGTGGACTCAAACACCAGTATTTCCTGGGCCGCCTGCCCAGCCCCTCATCGTCCTGCCCAGCTATTTCCAGTCCGTTTCACAGAATGGTAGTGGGCTCACCAGAAGTGATCAGAGGCCCTTGGCAAGGGGCAACTCTCACCTTTTGCCGCACTTAGCCTTTGTTAGTCTCTCTGTTTGTGAGATGCTGTACCTACAGAAACGGCACGGGCCACCAGTGTGCAAAGGAGAGAATTTTCACAAAATGAACGTGCCCTGGTAAATACACAAGGGTCAGGAGGTAGGACCCTAGGAGCCCTGTCCATTCCCATCCATCCCCAAAGTAGTCAGGATTCCCACTTCTGACTACAAAGACCAGCCTTGCCGTTTTGACCTCACACAGATGGGGTCTTGTCTGTGTCACACTCCTGGGCCGGGCTTCTTTCACTGAGCACAGCCATTGTAGATGTGCCCATGCGGCTGTGTGTGGTGTGGTTGCCGTGTAGCGCTCACTGTGTGAACATGCTGTGGTTTATCTGCCCATTCCATCCCGGGCCGACCCTGGGGGCGTTTCCACTTTGGCTTGAGGCTGCTACAAATAGAACTCTTGAGAACTTTCTGGGTCCTGTATTTTGGTGAACATATGAACACATTTCTTTCAAGGAAATGCTTAGGAATAGAATTGCTGGTGGAGACTTGGCCAGTGTTTAATGGGAAGTTTTAGATCACAAAATCCTTTTCACACTTAGTGACCTGGAACACAACACGCTTTTTAACATTTTCTCGTTAGTTCAGTTGTTTGCAAAGCACTCACCATGTCTTTCAAAGGCCAAGGGGAACTGGATGCTGCCTTTGAAGAGCTCACACCAGCATCTGCCTCGCCATCCTGTGTAGCATGTTATAATGAATGGGCCGTCTCCCTTGTTGCAGCATGGGCTTTTCTAATCCAGGAGGTGTTGGTTGATAACATTTGGTCAAGACAGTAAGTTGGTTACATTGTCTAGCATGACGCTGGTCTCCCATATACATTCAGAACGTACCATTTTTAGTGATTGCAATACTTTTTACCAGGTCCATATGTAGAAAAAGCAGGTCCAAAACATATAATGTCCAAATTCTTCTTATTCCATCTGGGCAAGGGTTCAGAGTGCTTCCCATTGTCCTTATCATAGCAGCCCCTGTGAAAAAGTCCCCCTTGGCGTGTCGGGTTTGGGAGTTTCTTGGTAAGTTTCCTGACCCTGCCCAGGCACCTGCCCCGCAAGGGCTGGAGGCAGAGCCAGGCCAAGGGAAGGCGCTGTCTCTGGGAATCTCCTGTTGTCCAACCTGCCCTCTTCCTCCTCTTTCTCCAGCTGATGACCAAACACCCAGCCAAGCGGTTGGGCTGCGGGCCCGAGGGAGAGAGAGACGTGAGGGAGCACGCCTTCTTCCGGAGGATCGACTGGGAGAAGCTGGAGAACAGGGAGATCCAACCGCCGTTCAAGCCCAAAGTGGTGAGTCCAGGGCAGCAGCCTGCGTTCTGGGCTTCCCGAGTTCTGGGGCTGCCCTACCCAGCCTTCCTGCTGGAGAAAGGGAGCCAGTCACCCCTGGCTTCAGCGGGCTGAGGAAAACGGCCACGTTCCAGACTGGTCCCCAGTCCTGGAGCCTAAGCAGCTAGGACGCCTGTTGGCTTTGAGAACAAGGACAGAAGATGGGGAGCCTTGTAGTCCTCACCCTAAACAGGGCAGCTGCAGAGCCTCAGAGCATTAAAGAGCCCGGGCGGGACAGCACCGGGGACCAGACACGCGACACCCACCCCCGCCCGGCCATATTCCTGGCTCTGCCTAGGTCCTCAGCAGGACTCGGGCCTCACACCTGTCTCTGACTTTCCCGCATCTCCCTCGCCCTGATGGGGCCCTGAAACACACATGCATCTTTACTACATCACAGGCAGGACCCGGGCATGGCTCCCACGCGGCTACCGTGTCCACGACAAGGAGCACATGGCAACTGCCCGTCTCCTCATTGCCAGTTGCATTCAGATTCTTCTGTATGATTCCCACTTCTTCTGTTTATGTCATAAATGCTACCTGCCAGGCCCTGTTCTTGGTGCGGTACACGTGTAAACTCACTGAATCTCCTGTGAGAGGGATATGATTGTCCCCAGGTGGCAGTTGAGAGAACTGAGGGACAGAGAGGCTGAGTGACTTACGGGAGGACACACAGCTGTGAGGCTGTGGAGCCAGGACAGAGCCTGTGTCCTTCCCCACAGCACCGTCACTACCTCAGTGACAGCCCCGCAGCTGGTTCTGATAGTTGGCGGCAGCCGGTGTGCGCCTCCCTTAACGTTGTACGTGTTGAGGTGAGCTGAGTGTCTTCAGGATGCCGACCTCCTCAGCATCCCTCCCGCCCCTTCGCAGTGCCCAGGGCGTCTGTGTGTCCCTGTGCTTTGTTTCTAAGGGCCGCGGGATTCACACCTTTTAGCCTGCCTGTCTTGGCTAGCACTGGGCTGCTGCCTTCCTCTCAGGACGGCAAGGAGAGCTGCTTCTCCCCATGGTCAGTGTCAGAGTGTCCGCCCTGCTGGCCCTGCCCCACTCTGTCCCTGGCGGATACCCCCTGTCATAAGCAGGTCAAGGACACCCCTGCGGTGGTGGAGTTACTGCCTGGGTAACACACAGCCTTGTTCTCAGAGCAGCAGCTTCCTCATCAAAAGTGCCTATGTGTCCTCAAGTCCGAGAATAAAACTGCTGGTGGTGAGCCCACTTGACTTTATTTTCCTGAGACATTTTTCGCACAGGCTGAAAACAAACTAAAATTAATCAGGTCAGTTGACTTCCTCCTGAATCATCATTTCAAGTAGGCCCTTACGTATCTGCCACCCCTGCCTTGTCTTTAGCCTCCTTGGACCTTGGGCATTCTCAGGGGACCTTCTTCAGGGCACAAAAACTAGTTGGGAGGTTTGCGTAGGGGAGAGAGAGAAACGGTGCTGCGGATGACCTCAACAGAAAACTCCTGCAAGGGTTTTCTTTCTTCCCCTCTGCCGTCTGGACTTGTTTGTCTTCTTGAATTAAATGCGGAAGGTAGGCGATAGCACCCTAAACACAGCTTGCAGCTTGCTGCAGGAACATAGACACACACACCAGCCCTGCTTTAAGGGTTGAGCAAAACACAATCACTTGTCTATCACTTTCCAGAAAGAACTGAGGTACAGCAAAGCTGGCCATAAAACACACTTTTTTTTTCTATTTCTTCTCACCGTGACTGCAGAAGAAACTGATTTTTTGCAGTTTCCCTCTTCTCATGGATGGATACTTGGCCCCAAACTCATACATAGGAAAAACCAAAGGTGACTTAGCTCAGGCAGCCAAAAACAGGAGCTGTTGCCTGTGGACCATGGAACTCACCAGAGGCAAAGTGACTCCCATTGCAGACAACTGAGGTATGAGCAGTGTTTACTGTCTTATTTCCTGGAGTGCTATTTCTTTGTTTGTTTTCTTGGTTTTGGTTTTGTTTTAAACTGAGTGCTGGTTAAAATAAAAAAAAAAGAACAGCAAATTACCTGTGGCTGTAAAGAAACAATACCCTCTTCCTACCTCACCCAGCGAGGTGGCACCTACCTGTAGCCCCCAGCACTGAGAAGCTAAAGCTACATATCAAGACTTCGCCCAAACACAAACGGAAGCAGAAATTGAAGACAGAGCTCCCTAGAGTGGGAGAGCTCCGGCCAGAGGGAGGGAGCAACTCATCCGGGTACAGCGAGCTCCTCCTACCTGAGACCCAGTGCACAGAGGAGGAAGGAACCAGGAAGAACACGGGGCAGCGGGGCAGACACATGGCAAAGGAGGTTAGAAGCACGGCAGAAGAGAGTCGGGCGGAGAGATAGTGGGGAGGTTCTGGCCCCTGCACGGGCCGCAGAGAACCACCTCAGAGCTCACATTGCCTGTGCTTCCTCCGTGCTCTGTGCTCGGCGGCAGAGTTCGGCTCTAGTCCCAGGGAAGGGCCATTTCATGAAAGGGCACCATGCTGGAGCCATGGCAAGAACAGTTCGGGCGATCGAAGAGGACATTTAGGACAAAGGAAAGTGACCCTTGGCAGAGCTGCAGAGATGCTGTGGTGAACCCAGGCAGCAGGCAGAACTGACCACAGGGAAACGTTATTCCAGGACGTGGTTTACCTGAAGCGTGGCTCACTGACCCAGCACTGGTTGAAAAGCCAAAGGGCTTGCGGATAAAATGCAGAACTGAGCCTTACTGACAGGTGGTTCTGGTATTTCAAAGAGGGATGCAGCAACACAAGCCTCACGTGCTGCTGGAAAGCACACAGGCAGCACGGTGGCCATAGCCCCTGACTTCCCGGCTCAACCCGGCTCAGCCCAGCTCCAGACCTATCTCAGCAGCTTTCAGAGCCCTGGATGACGAGGCTTGTCTGTCTTGGCAGAGGGTGTCTGCTGGGTGTCTAGCAAGCACTGGTGAAATCAATTTCCCTGGGATTTACAGGATTACGGGTGGTTAGCTGTCCTCATATGCTCCTGGGTCCCACGGCATTAAGCCTTTATTGTAAAATACCAGCTTTAGGCCTTCAAGTTATTTGCCAAGCACTTTTGGATACCAAATTTGTGCTTGTAGAGTTGGGAACCTATCATCTTTGTTTTATTTTTGTTTTTTGAACCTCCAGTGATAGATTATTCCAGAATCACTGACTTCCTAAGGAAGCTAGAGATAGTATACCTCCGGACAGCTGTAGGTTTATCCAGAAGACCCAGGGTTCCTAGTGTGAGATCTTTTTTAATCATCTTCCCAATTGTCAGAGTGATATTGATCTTAGACCAAAGTGCCACACAGAATATAAGATCCTCACCCTGCTGTGATCCACCAGGACATCCTACGTGGGACTTTCCATCTCCTGGGGACATTAAGGTCAGGATCTGCAGCACAGCCATGGCTAGGATGCTGTGTAAGGAGACACAGAAAGGAGAACACAGAGAGTGGTAGGCCTCAGGTGTGCGGGGCCGTAGTCTCACCAGATGAGAACTTGCCTTGCAGTGGCCAACAGTGGAAGAGGCCAGTCCTGGACAGAGCCGTGTCTGTCCCCCAAAAGGCCACCATGCACCGCTGTGAAGATAGACGATTTTCTAGGAGATGAGACGATAAGTTGACAGGGGAGAGCCTTTCATAGACCAGTTTATTTTGTACCAGAGCAAAGACAAAAGCAGACAGCTGTGCTGAGCTGTCCTGGAGGCTGAGCAGCCACACGACTCTCTCCTCCCCTTTGTGAAAGAAACACAGTCCAAGCACGGCTCGGGGACCTCAAAGAAACACGACCTAAAGGGCTCTGCGCTGATGAGTAGTATCAGCTCGGACTTGCTGGACTTTCCCAGCAACAAACCTGAACCGCGGCAAGCGGCCCCCTGACGTGCAGAAGATTCCCTGTAAGAAGGCACTGTAAGTTTTTAAAATATAATACTTCTGAAAAGGCTCGTCTTCAGCTTCCAAGGGAGAAGGGACGTGTCCACGTGACTGCAGCTGCAGGAGGAGACAGACGGCCAAGGGCAGGAGGACGGCCCCTTCTGCTTCGCCTGGAAAGTGAGAAAGCTCCACGGTTCTGATCAGTGTCTCTTGGACCCTTGCAGGGCTTTGCCCTGATGCATTACTCATGTGAATAAAATGACCAAGCAAAGCCCCACAGTTCCCTTTACCCTCCCCATGAGGAGCAGCAGCTTATATAAATACGGCAAATACAAAGTTAGATGATTTGCCTTTTAAAAATTCTACGTGTTGGCACTGAGGAGCAGAATAACAAGCTCATAGGCAAGCTAGACACAGTCCCTGTACTTTCACAATTACCTGAGAGAGAGGGGAATTCATTTATAAAGTTAGCACGGAGAAGTAACTCATCCTTGCAGCCGGAGCCAAGGAGAATAAATACTGGGAGCAAGTGTGGGCGCCGCTGTGGTGAGGAGGAGCAGGCAGCAGTCGTCCCCGGCCGCCACATGGTCTGTGTTTCACAGTGTCATTAGCCTGGTTAGAGTCTGACGATGATGTCGTTATCAGAGTTGGTACAGTGGTCCTTTTTAATATTTTAAAACATATTTTGAGATATCTAGTTTCAGGCTTGCCAGAGAACTGGGAAAAAAATAGTACAAAGAATTTCTGCATTCCCTTTGCCCAGATTCCCTGAATGTCAACATTTCACCGTGTTTGCTGTATTTCATTCTTTATCCATTCTCTGTCTGAGCCTGTGTGTCCACACACACACACACGCGCGCACACTTTTCTGAACCATTTGAGAATAAGTTGCAGGTGTTATGCCTCTTGACGCCTAAATAATTCCATGTGTATTTTCTAGACATGAGGACAACTCACACACAGTGTTCTTCGAGCAGTCACTCTGCAGAGGCGTTTGTACAGAGCAGCAGCTATGCAGGTAGAAGAGGAGGGCCCTGCGGTGACTGTCTAACGGATACAGTACTGTGGGTGCATTAAGTAGTTCTCCTGAGTGACAGGCAGATTCACTCTCTTGGTCTTTCCAGTGAGCCAGTAATGGTGATGCTAATTAAAACTGAGATTTTCAAGACTTGGGAACCTTGCTGACAACATAAAAATGCCAGGCAGTCTTTGGAGACTAGAAGAAATCACATCATGATATATGTAGGTTTGTTTTTAGCCTTTAAACCAATCCAAGGTAACGTATTTTACTTGGTTAATTAGCAGCAAGCAGTTTCTCCTATTCTTGGCTAATTATTTTCCCAAATACTTTTGTGCATGGAAGAACTGAGACATTTAAAATAATAATCAATTGTAATAAGTAGCCGTCTTGCAAACCTTGGAGCTGCAGTGGTGAGGGTGGACATAATTATAACCCTGTCGGACTCAGGCTGTTTGCAATGACTGACAAGTTCCCCTTGTCTGAAGTGACCATCCCTGCCTGTGACAGACATTACACCATTCTTGGAAAAGCGGCCTTAAGTCCTATGAAGCTGACCATTAATATAAAGAAAGACCAAACAAAATGCCCACTTTTAATCTGTAGGAAAGAGCCCGTGCTAAGTCAGAACCTTTGCCCTGGTTCGTGCGTGGCTTGTGTACCTACAAGAATGCACTCATGAAATGGGGCTTATAGCCTGTGTCATCCATAAATAAAACCCACCTCTGTGAATAGCACTTGGCCCTTCTGAGATAATGCTCTAAGGCAAGAGGTGAAGCGAGTACGGTTTAATTTTGTCTAGGAAACCACAGCCCATCTCTAGGGGGATGCTGGTAGAAAGTGGGCAAGGTCCCAATCCCTTTAGAACAGTTATTATTATTCAACACTATCTCTCTGTGGTGAAATAAACAGTTAAACAGTAGAAAAGGATATAAAGCACAGCTATTTCTCCCTCCCCAGTTACTGATCCCACTACCCATGATCTTTCCTATAACCTCTAGAAAGTTTGATGCATGTGTGAACACATACGTAAGTGAGGCTGGACCATGGTTTGTATCCTGCATCCTTCACGTGATGCTATGTGTACTCCAGAGGTTTGACCATGTCAGCTCAAGTGGGTTCATGGCATTCTTAACATGGCCATTCTCGGTTCTGGAGTTCCAAGGTCAGGAACTGACTGTTCTCCAAATCCTCTCCTCTGTCCATTCTTATTCTCCAGACTTTCTGTACCAAAATGCACTGGCTTCAGTGGGCATCCAGGCCTTCGGTGAGCACATTTCCAAAACCTGAGTGACTACATGAGCGAACTAACCTCACCTTAACCTCTAACTGTGTGCTCCTGCTTGCACTGGCCATGCACGGAGACCCTCCCCGAGCATGCTGATCTTCGTGGAAAGGGCAGAGCCGTGGCCAGAACCCCTCACTGGGGGGTTCACAGTGTGGACCTCACCTCCCAGGAGTCTGAGGCAGAACACACCCACTCGCTTCTCCTGCTGGTTAATTCTGTGAATATAGTGTATAATCTGTACCGAGACGGTGGGGATGTTCTAATTAGTGTGCCCCATTGGGTAGCACAGTACTCCAGCCCCCTCAGTCCTGGGGCTTGAAACATGTCTGAGGGCTCCCCGAGAGCAGGCACACTGTGCTGCCTCTAGAACTGCAGCAGACATTCCCACCTTGCTGTGTTTTCTTTCCTGTAGTTTGATGGCACGTTTGTGCTTTATTTGTTCTACACTCTGCCCACTCTTCTGAGTTTTGTTTGGTTTTGCTTTCTGACAGCCACATGTTTGAAGTAGTCACGCTCCCACGCCTGTAGGGTTTTATTCTGCTCGATGGAAACCCCAAGTTAAGGGGCAGGATTGAGGCCATGTGCATTGGTGGTTCCCAGCAGGGCTACTACAGGGGCGGATCACAGCCAGGAAGCGCAGAGCTCAGTCTCTCCCTGTACCCTCACAGGACGCAAGGGGTTGAAAGGGGGCTGCTTGCCACAGAGGGTGTGGATGGGGAGCGCTGCGATCCCAGCTTCCCCCTAAAGCTCACAAAGTTGCACACTTTCCAGCATCTTTACAAGCATGCCTGGGGCTGGGGATTTAGCTCAGCGGCAAAGCGCCTGCCTGGCAAGCGCAAGGTCATGAGTTCGGTTCCCGGTACCGGAGAAAAACCAAAAAAAAAAAAAAAAAAATACAAGCATGCCTGATTTCTCCTGGGTTCGTTTTATTACTTGATGAATTGGCCAAATGGCTAAGGAATGTCAGAATGACCAAAGAGTTAATTCCTCAGTCCAGACAGAGGAAGTAGATTATTAATAGGGTTCATCCCTCCAATACTGAGCACACAGCTTTTGCACACAGCTGCCTGTGTTGTACCTGATGTCTTCATCAGCCTCGTCATTGAGAAAGGCCTCTCACACATTCGTTCCCCCGTCCTCACAACAGTTTTGAAAGGTGGATTGCCGCCATCTTTGCAGAGATGCAGTGAGTTTCTCATAGCTGTGCCCTGGGCCCCTTGATCTTGTCTGGTGCTTTGCTCTTCTATGCCACCTGCTTTCAGTGGGTGTCAACCCTGCCCAGTGATCACAAGGTGCTGCCAGTCTCAGGGGTACCAGAGAACCTCCTCGGGCCCAGTCAGAGCTGGGCTGTCTCCTGCTCCCCCCTTCCCTTCCATTCCTGTCCCTGCCAGTTATGCAGCACTCTACACCTCACTGGCAAAAGCCTCAGGTGGTGAAAGGTGTGGGTAGCCTTTGGAGGTGAAGACCAGGCACACCTAGCCCAAGGGCTTTGCTCCCAGGTTGCCTTAGATACTTTGTGTGTCAGGTGGCCTAGAGCTTGGAGGCTGTGGACAACCAAACTGCCACAGAGTCACAGACCGCCACGCAGGCTTCCCTTCAAATGCCCGTGGTAGTAACCTTCCTGCTTTGTACCTGAGGTGTGTCAGAAAGACGTCTGCAGCCAGGCTGGCTTCGTTTATCGCTCAGTCAAAAGGTGCTCATTGACAGAGCCACCAGGTGTTGCCTTCACCCTTTCATCTTTGTCTCTTTTTATTCTCTACCCAGCTCCAAGATGGCACCTGAGACCCACTAAGCTGATTGTGAGGAGTAGGGTTGGATCATAGGTGGTATACAGAAGCATCGGGAATGCAGTAACCGTTAGATCTGCTGTTTGTCTTTTCCCAAGGATCCAGAGACCCCTGATTTCCATGATCCTTTCAAAGGAGTGCTGGTCTGAGGCAATTTTCTGCATAACCTCTTGAAAAACAAGTAGTTCAAAGGGGGTTGTCTCTTCCTGGGCCTAATTTTGCTTAGAAGTGTGGAGGGTTCATCTTCAAATTGCTGAAAGATTCTCTACATCAGTAAAATAAGCAGTATTTTTCACAGCACTAAACACAGGGTAAAAGTACTATTTCTCCCAGTCTCTTTGTAGGGGGAACGAGATCTCCTTCTGGTGTAATCTCCCTCAAAGTAAGGTGCCGGTCTGAGTGTGGGATCTCAGTCCATTCTTCAGACCCAGCCTTCAGCTGTGTCAGGGCTTTCTTCCTTATCACTTGCTGAGACACACTCATGGGCCCTGTGTGTCCCCCCACTGACGTGTCTGAATTTGAGTGGTTCAGTTTTTACTCTTTGCCTTGGCCCTGTGCTTGTTCCTGGTCTCTTCACCTAAGTGAACCAGTTTAAGAAAACTTTCATTTGCTAAAATGTGATCTCTCTCTCCCTCCCTCTCTTCCTCTCTCCATCCTTTCCTCCTTCCTCTCTCTCCTTTCTCACCTCTTTCTCCACTCCCTCCTCTCTTTTCTCTCTCTTTCTCTTTCTCTCTCTCTCTCTCTCTCTCTCTCTCTCTCTCTCTCTCTCTGTTGGGGAAAATTCCAGAGAGATCTGCAGTGACAACGAAAAGGAAGCTGTTTCCAGTGGAGAGCAGTTTTGAGAGCAACGGCTGCGTTGCTGCTCAGCCCATCACAGAGCAGGGATGACACTGATCTGGGCCCATGATGTCCCCTCAGCTCTGCAGCCCTCGGCATAGCCATGGCACAAGACTTTAGCCGCAGAGGGATTTTGCTTCTCTCCCTACAGCCGTTGATTTCACAAGCCATGGGAGCCCTGGAATAACCCTTCTTGGGACACAAACTGTGGAATTCGATATCCTCAGGCGTATATCCCCATCCTTTGCGAAGTTCGTGCCTGTATGGTATCCTTCTTAGGCTTTTAGAACTCTCCTCTAGTTTGCTCTTTATTGTTCTTTGGCAGTAAGCCCATGGCTTTTAGAAACTCCCCATTGGAAGGTGGTTTGTGAGCACAGTACCATAAAGACGGTGCTCAAAGGAAAGGGTCAGACCTGTGCAGTACCTCACAGAACAAATCAGTAAATCCAAGGCGAGACAGACATACCCAGCCGCGGCCCAGAGAGCCCCTTACCGTGGCTCGCCTTGTCTTCCCTCTTAGGGATTCACATTCTTTTATTGCTTTTTCCCAGAAATGCCTTCTTGTTCACCTTTGCACGGTTAGTGAGGATCAAGAAAAGCACAAACGGTGTCCTAGCACGCAAGCGCACTCGCGGCCTCTGAAAGCGCCAGTATAGATTCACTTGAATTCATCCAGGAGAGGGTATTGATTCACCAGTTTCCTGAAGGGTATTTTCCTCAGCGCCAACTCCCCCGAGGCCGTAACTCGCTTACGCTGCTTTTGCCTTGGGCTTCTGCAGCTTCTGCGTTCTCTGTTCTCACGCACAGCTGTCCCTGCACAATTTCCTTGTTGGCCTCCTCCATTTGCCCTCATTCTGACCTTGGGACCTTGCAGCCTCCCAGGACAAATCCTCATAAACATGTCCCAGGTTTCTGTACGGCAGCACTGTTGCCATTTGGAGCGAACAAATCTTTGCTGGGAAGCATCTGTCCTGTGCGCTGCAGGGTTTTTATCAGCGTCCTGGTCTCTGTCTATGGGGGACAGTGGCACCCCTTCCCAAGGCATGACAATCAAAAATGAGTCCCTTCGCGGGGAGTCTTCCCTGGTTGAGAAGCACTGCTGTTTCTAAAGAAGAGCTCTTTCTTTAGCTGTTCCCATCATCAGCACAGTCTCTGCACGCGGTGCCCCAGTGGAAGCTAGTTTCTGTTCCTCGTTTGTCTAACGAGTGAATCGAGTGTGGACTCCGGATTAATTCCCGGGACGGGGGCTGGGGGTGCGGGGAGAGTACCCTTACGTACTTCCTGAAGAGTGGTTCTGAGTGGGATATGCATGTAGGATGAGGGCAGCTGCAGACTCTGCTCCTGCTGATCTTTGCTTTGAAGGGCTTGGTGCTCTTCCACGAAAAAGCCCCACGGGAATGCAGAGTGAAGCTGCCCCACGTGTGGGAGGCAGGACTGTGATGAGCAGGTGGCATAGTCCACGTGGCCTCTGAAGGTTGACCCGAGCCCTCAGACACCTTCAGCACATGTAACTCTGCCCACTGCCCACACCCCGCACAGGCCCCGGTCACTGTGGCACAAAGTCGCCCTGGGTTTGGGGTGGATGGTTGCTTGTGAACATAAAAATGACCCCAGTAAAAGAAGCCGTTATTTATGAAGACTGTACTTCAGTAGGTGCGTAGGAGCAAGTTTTTTATTTTGCCAAGGATGGGAAAGCTGTAATGAAACTAGAGAACCTTAGAAAATAAAGGAGGTAAGCCAGACGTGATGGTGCATGCCTGTAATCCCAGCACTCGGGAGGCTGTGGCAGGAGGATCACCATGAGTTCAAGGCCAGCCTGGAGCTACATACTGAGCTCAAGGAAAAAAAGAAAGAAAATGAAAGAGGTAGTGAGAAGGTGCAGCCCATGAAACTAAACTTGCCTTATAAAAAAATAGCAATATATATTGTACTCTGGCACATGCCAGGTTCTACGTGAAACTGCACATTTAACCCTTGTACCAGCTCACAGAGGGAGGTACCGTTCTCCCCATTTTACAGATGAGTAAGTCAGGTTGACCCCACTTCATGTTCTACCTAGCGCTACCCTCTACAAAAGATACAAGAATGCCTGATTGAGTTCAAATTGATGTTTGCTCAGAATTAACCCACATTCCCCTTATAGAACCACCAGTAGGTAAAAGGGCAGTGATTTGCAACATGTTGAAACATCATCATTAGTAACATCAGTAAAGTGCCCAGCTCTTCTTTCAGAATCACCCTGGGATCCTGAGACTTTGATGGGCTGCAGTGCTTCTGGGTAGCTGGGAAAGGGAGGAGGACACCCCCTTCCCTCAGACGGGGTCAGACTGCCCAGCAGTGCACCTTACGCAGCTGTGTGCGTGTTTCTCAGAGACCATCAAAGGGCAGATTGACTTCCAGCCCTGATTTGCACAGGATGCTGGTGGATTCTAGAGGAGCATAATATTCAAGACAGACAGCAGGCTGTGCTCCGCCTCTGCAAGCTCCTCAGAGCTCCTGTGCAAATCTCTTTCTGCCTGAGAACACACCGCAGATGAGGGCCACACTGCCCTGTCTGCCAGCTGACCAGCTCTAGGAGAATTCCCGCTGGACCCAGGAGCACATCTCCCACCCTTGCCACCACACCTCTCCCCTACTGGCTAAGATTAGTTTAGGGTCTGGAGTTTCTAGAATATCCCAGTTGGGAGGCAGAGACAAGCAGCTTTTGCTTTATAACAGATATTTTCGCAAAGGACCAGGTACGGAGCAGTATCCTCACCCGCTCAGTTTAGGAGTAGCTGCCTGCAGTCCCAGCCAACATCCTGGCCTTTTCCACATGGTGCCATGACTGATGGCTCAGTGTGTACTGCTTTCATGCTCATAGCTCGGCTTGCTTGGTGACCTGGAAGTGAAATAAGAAAGGCTGTCTCCTTGTTGCTACCTTCCTGCCTACAGGACATTTCTACCACGGTTTTCATTCTGGGTGTATGCAAAGATTTACAATCAAGTAACTCTTGTTTGCTGTGCCTGGCTTCTGATTCCAATAGGCCTGCAAGCCCTCCAAGATCTTCCTGGCTAACCAGCCCCAATTTCCCCAGGCCACACCCCTCCCCACAGAAAGCCGTCAGAGAGCCTGTCCCTGTTTTATAATATGTACTGAACGTTCTTCTTCTTCTCTCCACAGTGTGGCAAAGGAGCCGAAAACTTTGACAAGTTCTTCACACGAGGGCAACCTGTCTTAACACCGCCAGATCAGCTGGTCATCGCTAATATAGACCAGTCTGATTTTGAAGGGTTCTCCTATGTCAATCCGCAGTTTGTGCACCCGATCCTGCAGAGTGCAGTATGAAACTCAGCAATGAAAGCAAATGCTTCCCTATCCCCTAACCCCCGCCCCCAGCAGTGGGAAATTATCCTTAATCCTAAAATTTGAAGGCCATGGCCTGTGTCTTGTTCCACAGGGAGGCTTGCAATTTGTAGGGTCATTAGTTCATATGTGATCGACTTTTCAGGGTCTCTCTCTTATAACCAAGAACATTGTCCTAGTGGAAGATGACATAATGTACAGTGTCCAGTTTAATTATGTAGAAGTCACACCTGGCTGTAGGTTAATACTTCCTAGAAAGCAAACAGACTCTTGCCCCTTTTTGGTACGATTTGACATATTCTCCATCTGTGGATTTTCACCAAGCTCACGTAAGCAGAGATGTTAAAGTGAAACTGTTCCAGCTCGGTGGACTGGGATCATCTCCACCCAAGATGTCTTTGGAGTGAAAGAACAAGGAGCCCAGGGAGTGAGCACAGCGGGCTGGGGATGGGAGAGGCTTCAAGATACCTGCCGCTTCTGTTCTCTGCCTCAGTGGAGAAAGACCCTAGAATCTGAAAGGCCCGGATGAACCTAATCACTGTTCCCAAAGCGTATAACTCAAGTGTAGTCCAGCCGTGAAAGAAGGAATGAAGAAAGGAAGAAAGAAAAGGAAGGAAGAAAGGAAGAAAGAAAGAAAAGGAAGAAAGAAATCTTCAAATGAGAGTTGGGTAAACCTCTCATCCGTTGCCCTACCGGTTGATAACTATCTTGAAACTTGCATTCTTTTTAAGAGGCCAAATCATCCAAGGGTTTTGCTAAACGAGCACGTGAAATCTTTTCAGATCAAGGATAAACCAGTGTGTATGTGTGTCCATTTTAATCTCTGGGAGATTTTTCTTCGGTCCAGGGTGCCATCAGTAACCGTGCCACTACTCGAGTGTTAGCCAACGCCCCCTCACACACATGAATATTTTGGTACCTTGTTACCCTTCCTAAGAAGCTGAAGTGTACACCTCATACCCTTTTTTTTTTACTTATTTATTTAATAGGCTGTGGTGTTGTTTATGAAAGTACGCTGTACAGTAACTTAACGTGTTGACTAGCATCAGGACCTATTGATTTATTTCCTCCCTTCCTTAGCCCTTGACATCCGCTTAGGGGTGACAGATAATACAGTTTGGGTTCCCATTTCCGGTTGTGTTGAGCGACACACCTGGCGCCGTAGGACAGGACACTTGGATGCTTATGAGCTGAAAGATGTTTTCTTGCTAGAGGGATTTTACTGTGTTTTGCAAATGCATCATGCAATGGATTTTGCATGTTTATCATAGACCTTAATAACAAGTAAATCTATATTATTAATATAACCGCATCAAGTTTAAAGAGAGTATTATAATAATTTTATAAGATACGATCGTGCTATATTTGTGAAGGTTTATGTTTCTTACCTGCTTTTATGATTAGGTTTTAGTTTAATTCTTTGCTGCTGTGCTTTCTTTTACCCTTCTCCCCCTGCACACTGGCCCCGTATCAGATATATTAATTTTGTAATGTAGATCTAATTTCAAAAATGAATGGCTATTTTACATGTTTAATTAGGCTCTTACTATATATGTGTGTATATATATGTATGTATATACATATATATATTTGATTCTACCTGCAAACCGAAGTGGTGTTTGTGGGGACTATTTTTGAGATGAGACTCTTAGTTTTTTAATGTCCTCTTTTGTTTGGGTCCGTCTTCCTTTGGGGACAGTGGGAAGTGTTTGAATCCAGTTTGCCCGGTATGTTTGTGTACATGTGGCGTTGTCACAGCACCTGGGCGAGGGGTGTGCGTGTGTGTGTGCGCGCGTGTGTGTGTGTCTATCTGTGTCTGTGTGTTTTGTCCTCCCTTTTAACCTGTGATTGCTGGAGACCAGAAGGCAGCGCAGAAGGAACTTCCTTCTTGCCATGTGGACTGGAGCCCCCTGGAAGGATGTAGCGTGATTGCTTCCCCAGAAGGCCTCACCAGTGTTCCAGCAGATGCAGACTTTGTGAAACAAACCCTGTGTCAGTCCCTGCGGTTCTCAGGGGCTGCACGTGTCGTTCTAGCTGTTGCTCGAGTTGGTCTTTGCCATCCTCCGAGGGGCGTGTGTCTAGTGAGACATCTTGCATTGCCCTGAGAAGAGCCAGTTTCCTGCTGCACAGAAGACAAGTGAGAACGAAAGGAACTGTTGGCCCTTGCAGAAGGCTGCTCTCTTTCCTCCCATAGCATCACCCAGTTAAGCTCTCCTCATTGTGACTATCTGGATATTTGTGTGCAGTTCACAGAATGCGCTTACTATGGGTGACGTAAGAGGCCTCGGTTGTGCTGAAAATCCCTGATTGGAGAGAGAGGCGGGGTAGGAAATGGGCCAGACCACAAAAGAGCAGTTTCTTTGGCCATGTTTTATGGACTCCAGACTTTGAAACTCAAAAGGGATCCTTGCACATTGGTCCCTGAAGTCCTGCTGGTCAGCTTACATTCTAAGGGCGTGTCCTCGCCAGGACACTCCACCTCATCCGGTGGAAAAAGAATTTGATTATAGAAAGAGCCCAGAAGACAGAAGGGCCAGTCCTTCACCCCAGGTGGAGCAGCAACAAGACCGATCCCAGCCAAGCCCCAAGATGTTGAAGAAAGCCCAAGAGGAACGCGTGTCATGGACCATTTGTCCAGTGTGCCAAGCTGCCTGCTTCTAAGCAAGCGGGAGGCTTGAGCTTCCCCTCAGACAGCCGAAGCACAGCTTAAAATCACTGCTGCTCCTCTGGGAAATACATCCCACCGCTCAGCTGTCTTGTGTTCTTAGAGAATGTGCGACACCGTTTTCAAAGAAAGGACCCTGAGCACGGGGCCAGCGCTCTGCCTAAGGGAAAACAGACTGGAGAACCAGCTGGGCTGGGACTGGGGGATTAATGGTAAACATAAGGACCTGAGGATGGTTCCGTTGTATAGCCTGCTTTATACACTGAGTATGAAATTTAGAGAAAGGCTAATGCTTTAAAAATGTGTTCAGCCCAAGACAGTTATTGCTGAAAGACTAACTCATGTGGATAACCATTAGCAACTGTGATCCGCAGAAATGGCTGATAACATTCAATACCATTTTCCTATTTCACAGGCCTTGAATGAAATGGAACAGCAGGGAACGGTTGTGTGTACTTGGGTGACTCTGTTGGAGGCACTGGGGCGTAGCTTGAAGGGTCCAGTCCCCGGGGACTCTCGGAAGGGTCAGGCACTTTGGGACTCTGATCGCTGCACACATTGCCGGGCTCTAGCGACGAGAATTAGCACATCTGAGTCTCGGCAGGACCCCGCAGGCTTTGACCCCTGAAGGCCATTCAAATTGTGCTGCATTATTTTCCCTTGAAAGGTGGCTGCTGCTTAGCAGCAGAACTTCTGTGGCTGCATGCCCGTGAGCTGGCAGCTCTGCTTTGGCATTGCGTCCAGTCCCCCGTTGCTGGATTTGAATGGAAGGAGCCGGAGTGCGCTGTCAGGTACAGCCCTCGGGATAATAAGAGCCCCGCCTCCAGGCAGGAAGTCATTCAGAGGTGGATGAGAAACCCGAGAACGAAGGGATTGCTCCTCACCACATCTCCTCTTTTATCCCTGTGGCCTCTTGAGTGGCAGAACTGCTGTCTGCCTTTTCTCAGAGGATACATTAGGCTTTTTATTGGGAGTTGGGGTAGAACATTGGGGGGACGGGGTATAGAGAGCTCTCTGGAAGCTTGTCCTGAGTTGGTTGGTTGTAAGATTATCCTAGACCCAGATTAATGTGACCCTGCCAAGGATTGCTGATCACTTCTGTGACTTACATCCTTAGCACACAGTTCAGGGACTTGCTGGAAGGAGGGTGCTGATCCCAAGAAAGCTGCCCATTGACATCGGAGAGAAGGGAGAGTGGTTTAGGGCTAAACTGGCCAGGACACAGAGAAGGGTAGGGTGTGAGTGCGTCCAGAGAGACCCTGTGCCGGCGGGCCTCGTGCAGCATCTCCATGGCGTCGCATCCGGGACACTGGTCCAGGCAGTGTCGCAGCTGGTCTTCAAGACTGTGGTTTTTGCCGGGGACACGGTCTGTTCCTCCTTAGGAAACGCTCCCCCTCCGTGCCACTGACATCCTCACCAGCTGGGAGAAGCTGCGCCCCGCCGTGAAACGGCTCCCGGTTCTTTGGGCAGAGCCAGACCCCCTGGCGGGCCTGGGAGCCCACCCCTGCCACCCTTCCCTCTGTGACTTCCTGCCGAGCGTCATGGCTGCCAAGGATGGACGGAGAAGTCGCAAAAACAGCTAACCCTGCACTTCCCACCTGCCTCCACTTAGCGGAAGTAGGAGGCTTTTCTGCTGGAATTTGTTTTGTCCATACTGAAGAGGAGGGAGAGTGCGAGTGTTAGGTTTTTAAAAGCCTCCAGAAGTGACACCATCTGACAGTCATTTCTCACTCCGGTCTCATGAAGTCTCAATTTCTTGTGTGTATACATCACACCATTTCTTGTTTCTTTCTAGGCCCGCCAGGGCAGGAGTGCCTGGCCCCCCACTGAGCACACACCACATGGGTGCTGAGCCAGGGGCCCCAGGGGGTGAGGACCAGGACAGGGACAGGGACAGGCATGACAGTGATAAGGGAGGAGAAGGGCTCGCTGGTTATTAGTAGGTACACGTTAACTTGACCAGGAGCGGTGGGAAGTATTTGTAACTCATTTTCCTTGAGCTGCTTGGGCTAAGGTTTATGAAATATACTAGTCTGTCAACATTCCTATCATACTCCATTTGAGCCATTGCAGCAAATCTAGGTAATGCTACGTCTTTCTGCTGTTAGAAAACTCCAGGAAATTAGAAAAGGTTACCTGCGCTGTACATGGATTAAGCGGACATCCAGAAATGATGCCAACCACTAATTCTGTAATGTCGGGACTCCGGGTGGGCTCAGCGTGTGTGTGACTGATCCCTGTGTGCCTCATCTGTGTGATCAGCTGTCAGCTCACAACCATGTACGTCACAGAAAAAAGCAGACATTATGGTTTTTCCTCCTGTATATGGACCTAAGGACAGAACACACAGGCGATTCAACCGGCCTTACAGTGACCCAACAATAAAGTCCATACGTCCCAAAGACGTTTTTTTATCCTAAAGGAAGAGATTAATTTGTTAATTCCAATAGAACAACATACTAGGGCTATTTGTACTTTTTATAGAGAACTTTAATAATTCTTTTAAAATGAGTTTTTAAAATGAAGCTTTGACAACTTCGTAAAATTCCGATCACACGGAGCCTGAAGGAAGACTCAACCTGGGTCGGCTAGAACCTCCCTGACCTGCATTCCCACTGTAGGAGTTACCCAGCCGGTGGAGGCCCGTGTCCGCGTGAGAACCAGTGCAAGCTCACGTGGCACTTGGCGGGTTGACACTCTGTTTTTAATAGACACTGGGGATAATTGCCTGAGGTTTAGACATTTTCAAACTGTCGGAAAGATGGCTGTGTTGTCCCCCTTCCAGAGGCAGCCCTAGAGCAGCACTCCTGGGGTCTTGCTCTGTGAGGCTCTGCGACCACCTTTTGGTGAGAGGATTCCCTGCCCATCCCCCAATCTCTCACATTTGGTGAAAATTCAGAGATGCTCTGTAAGGATGTTGCCTGCTAGGCAATTCAGAACTATTTCAGTATCCCAAGAAATAAGAAGCAGCAGAAAACGTGCCTACTAGCTTCTGTTTCGTAGCTATTGCATATGTGGGTAGACAGAATCCTACCTTTCAGAAAATAGAAATCCAGTTCACTTTATAAGAACCTTTTTTTTTTTCTAATGTAACACAAAGATGACTGCATTTTCTGATAAAACTATGTCTTTGTCTCCTCTGCCTAACTTTAGGAGTATCTCTTCCTGTGGTTGTTTGAAGATTCCTGTTGATATTCTTTCTGGAAGAATGTCATTCTTTTCTGAGAGGGATCAGTGAACTATCCAAAATTACACATGAACGCGATTCCTATTTTGAGTCTAACAATTTCCTAAAAATTGACGTCTTATCCTTGCTATTACAGTCTTTCAGAATATCTTTTGTAGATGATCAGGAACATTTGAAATTGGTTTTCCTACATGTATTTTGTTTTTGTTTTTTGAAAGCCACACCATGTTTAAAGCATTGATTGAAGAACATCAATTAAGACCCCAAATTTGTATGGTGAAAAAAGCAGACATTATGGTTTTTCCTCCTGTATACGGACCTAAGGACAGAACACACAGGTGATTCAACTGTCAGTTACCATTTGGTTCTATAACAGATGCGAAGGATGTGTAAATTACTGCATTGCTTTCCTCGATTCGTATAACCTCTAATCTTTGTTTGCATGATTTGCTTTGTTAGGTACATTCATTGTAGTTTGGAAGCAAGTGTGTATGAATAAAGATAATGATCATTCCTTAGCGCGCTCGGTCTGATTTGCATTCCTTCGCAGCGCTGCAATTATTTTTCATCAAGTGTTAATCTAACAGCGTTCACCTCTGTGCACATTCTGCAGAGCGCATCCGTCTTTTCACTCATTTCGGGCGTGGCTGTCCATTCACGGTCCCTAAACACTGCCTGCTTTTAATCAAAGACCAAATGCTGACTGGGATAAAGTAGTCGCAGGCCCTTCATTCATTTGTTCATCAAGCGTCTGCTGGCGTCAGGAGTCAGGCCAGGCCCTGGGGACAAGGTAAAGAGGGAAACTAGTTTGACCGCTGCCTACGTGGAGCCTGCATTCTTGTGCCCCAAACTACAGGCAACACAGCGACTGATGAGGGCGTTATCCAAGGATGGTCAGTCCCTTTGCACAGGGATGGAGGATTCCAGAAGGAATTCAGCCCGAATCTCAGGACTTTTTTCTCCAGAAACAGATATGTCTCCCATATCCTGCTGACCTCACCATAGATTTAGCGTCTGGGCTGTCTCCACTTTTAGCATCAGAAACCCTCATCCCATATTAATTGATGGGTTAAAATGGGGAATTTTTCAAATATGGAATACTCAAAGATGCCTAGTGCTTTAAAACTTGACACCAGTGAGGGATTGGCCCCCAAAGTAATTTTAAAAATAACACAATTTCTAAAAACGAAGGATCAACTTTAGCTAAGTCTGTATTTCCTTACGTCCTCTTTGGGAGATGCCCTCCTGTCACTTTGTCCCCCTACTGCCCACTCCCTCCTCGCTCCTAGCCTCCACTCCTGCTGCGCCCAGGCTTTGTCTGAGCTGTGATCCCATCCCTGGAAGCCCCTCTCCCAGCCCACCGAGTCGATATGCAAGGATTAGCATCCACTAGATTAATCTCCGTCCCTAGGGTGCTGCAGTTACACTTCTGGGATCCAGAGTCTTTCAGCTGCCAATGTAAGTGCCAGGGACAGGGTTTTTTGAGGAAAAGCAGAGCCCCTGGCAGGGTCCTCCAAGCAGTACCATCTCTGACTCCTGAGCTGGCCTTGAGCTTCACCCTGGGCTGGTTGGTTTTACATGTGCAATGCACATTCAGTTTGTGGTAACTCGTGACAGCAGGAGGGTGGCTTATAGTGGCTTTTGCACACACCCCAGCTTCCACCAGTGTGCTGTTGTATTTTGTTTTTACGGAAACAAAGATGAGAACAGAGACTCATTCTGCACAAAGCATCCTCAGAAGCAGCCAGTGGCTGGGGGCTGAGTTGGCCCACCAAACTGTACCCTGGGGTGGCCTTAGAGGCACAGGCAAGATGAGACATGACCGGTCCACCGAGCTCCGCAGAGACCAAGGGGACAACCTGCACACAAGGTGGTGCACACTGTCCTTTCAAGGGGGTCACGTGCCACCCAAGATCAAAAACGAGTCCTGTCCAGTCGTGGTTCCTGCTTCCATGCGACCCTGCCCACTAACACCCGGCCCAGCAGCAGGTACCGTCATGTCCTAAGACTAGGTGCTTGATTGGGAGCCACTGTACACCCTCAGAGGGTGCTTGGCAGGGACTGGAGAGGTTTCTGCTTGACATGGCTTGACAGGGGTACTGTCCTGACATCAAGTGCGCAGGGGCCAGGGGTACTGCGAAACGGCCTATATTACACAGAGCAGCCCCCACAAGAAGACATTTCCTGCCCAGAATGCCAGGGGTGCACCACTGAAAACCCCTTTCTGAAACATACTCCAAGTCCTTACACTTTACCCCATCTGTCCTGGTCTCCTTCCTGGGATCCCCAAGGCCACCTTGCTCTCTTGGAGCCTTCCCTACACCGCAGCCGGCAGGACCTTGTTTGAGCAGGTCCCTGTCCTCTTGTGATTTCCATCAGGAACTTTCCCATTGCCTGCCGGCCTCCCCAGCCCCAGTTCTTAGCACGCTGGTCAGCAGTTTAGAGGGGGAGCTCAGACACGCTGACCTGCCCAGTGTATACGCATGCCCACTGCCCCAGGACACAAGCTCTACGGAGAAGCCAGCATTCCTGTCCTGCTTGCTGCTGGATCCCAGCAACAAGAGCAGTGCTTGCACACAGCATGGACTCAAAAGAATGTCGAATGAGTGAGTGAATGAGTAGGTCCAAAGACCACTGTGAGCCTAACAAGGCGTTGCGGAAACCATAACTAAGCCATGGTCCTTGCCCTGGAGGTGCTCGCAAGGAGAGAAGGCAGATACTTCTCAAAAAATGATGCGGAAGAAACCTTCATTCTCAAAACTCTGTCCTTCAGCCCAGAATGTAGAGGCAACGGTTGCCTACAGGTACACTTGAGTGGTGGTTTAACACCCTGAGCGTGTTCTCTGCCTGTTGTGTGCTCTGCAGTTGAAATTATGGTTCAGCTAAAATGGTAACGCACATAGGCAAGGAGAGTCTGTTTTCACACTCTGTCCCCTCTTAAGAGTGTGCACGGCAGGGAGCAGGGCATGGCCCCCAGGGCGTGTGTGAGAAGGGCTTTGACTCTAAGAAAGCAGAACTGGATACCTCCCTGAGATTCTTATTTTCTTTAAAGCTAAATCAATAAATACATTGCCAGCAGCCTATGCTAGGCATGAGAGGAGAATGTTTCATATCCATAGAACTAAGAAGACTCAGTGTAGGCTCAAGGACTCAACAGGCACAGGTTAAAATGGCCAAAAGCAAAAGCAGAAGGCAGGTGTACAAATACAAGTGCGTGGATATATGCACACACACTGATTACTGCAGTTCCCGACGCTCTTCAGCTACTTTATATGCATTGATTGAAAGCCCATAGCAACCACCACCCCCAGAAGAACCTATCTAGTGTTCATTCTATAGAAGAGGAAAGGGAGACACAGACAGGTACAAGAGCAATACCCAGGTAAGCCAACACCAGACAAAGCCAGCTGAGCATAAGAGCAGAGACGTGAGCCAGCAGGCCTGGTGCTTGTGGGGAGGGGAGGCAGGGAGGCTGCGGTCTGGATGGAGGAGAGAGAAGATGGGTCACATACAAGCAGCAACCTGCAAAAGGGCAAGAAAGGGAAGGCTGAGCTTCACCCAACACCTACCGCATCATCTGCACACAGTCATCTTATCTGACTCTCGGGGCACTGCCATGGGACAGAGGTTCGCATCTCACAGAGAGGGAGGCAGAGGCCCAGTGTAATTAATCAGCTTCTGGATACACAACTCCTAAGCAGCACACGAGGCTGGGCACCAGGGCTCTTCGATGTTTGTGACCTAGGCCTGCTTGGGGGATCAAGGACACGGCAGAGGCCCAGGGAATGCAGGAGCAGCGCCTGCCGGAGCTTCCTGGCCCTTCACAGCTTCCTGCAAAGCCCCTGCTCTTACCAAGGAGGACGTTTCCTTCTCTTGGCTGACACGACGCCTACAAATAAATGCCCTCTGAAACTGCTTCCAGAAACTTCTCTCCACTTTCACCCACCTCCCAATTTTTTTCACTAGGTGTGGGAGGCGAGAGAAAAAATAGCAGTTCTCAGAAGCCAGCAGGTATCTTGCAGCTGCCCGTGCCTGGCTGGCTCTCGGGAGAGAGCCCTGGAGGAGGGAGGGGAGCCAGCTTCAGGAATGGCTTGTCCACGCTGGGCTCAGCCTCCACCTCGGGGCAGCCCTGGGATCCGAAGCAGTCCAAGGCGAGCATTGTCTGCGGGTGGACAGCTTGCAGAATGAAATACGTGCCGTTTCTGACAGTGTCAGCCCAGCAAGCAAAGTCTGTATGCCACAAGAAGGCTTGTGCTATTTTAGAAAATTTGCACTAACGCGTGATTCTTGCAATCAGTACAAATAAGGAAAAGAGGACCCCACCACCCCTATTATAGTTACTGTCCTGCTTAATCTAACTTGATAACTTGCTCACTTCCTAATCATCTGTCTTATTTAATGATCTTTTGGTGACTGCGTGACGAAGCCCTCTTATTAGACTCCACGAGAACTGAAAGCTGATCGTCTAAGGCAGAGGTCACAGATACTGACACACATGTACACTAAACATTTTAAAGGCCTATAAATGCACAACCTCCCACAAGGAGGCTGGGTGGGGTGGCACTCGGGAGGCTGAGGCAGGAGGATCACTTTGAGTTTGAGGCCAGCCTGGGCTACAAAGTGAGTTCAAGGCCAGCCTGAACTGC